AAGCTCAGCTATCACATGGGCCACACAGTAACATAAATAATACCCTATCTAATAAAAGAGTAATATGCAATTGACCATCACTCCCAACACACTAGATGGCTGCCCCCATGTGGACACAAGATGGCCACCACAAGATGGCCAGAGGGGGAGGGTAGTTAGGGGTGACTAGTCCTGCAGTGGAGGGCAGTTAGGAGTGACCAGGCCTGCAGGGGAAGTCAATTAGAGGCAAACAGGCTGGCAGGGGAGCAGTTGGAAGCCAACAGTCCTGGATTGGAGAGGGTGCAGGCTGGGCTGAAGAATACCCCCTGCCCTGTGCATGAATTTTGTGCACCAGGCCTTTAGTATATATATAAAATTATAAATGGCAACTGACACTTGACCTTGGTGTTAAAAAACTGAAAAGAATCTTTAATATATTTCTGTATGATAGAGCACATACTGTGCATGTTTTGAGCCTCCAGGATTAAAATTTTAGATGAGCGAGAAAGACTAATATATAAATCAAGCTCTAATGGATGAATTGATTGTCTTGCATAATCTGAGTGAACACACCTAACTTTGGAGGCCATTATGCTGTGTTTCACCCTTAGTATAAAAGTTGTAGCCTCATTCTTGAGGAGTTTGTTTTTCATTTGTGGTAAATTTACTACCTCTTTCACCCTAATCTTTAAACATAAATGGCTATTTAATATCCTCTTATCAGAACTAATCATGGGGTTCTTTCTGTTCCATTTTATTTTGAGTTCAACATTTTTGGAAGCATTCTCCCCCATCCCACTGACATACTCATTTCTTTCTAGAATTCCTCCCCTCCCGCCCCCCAAAACAACATCATTCATATTTCCACTTGAGTGTTTTGATATCTTATTGTAGGCTCCTAAAAGTAGAGCTTTTAGCAAAATGAATTAGCTGTCGTTTATTTCATGACAGGTCTCTCCAACTCATGGGTTGAAGGCCTATGGGTTTCTTGGTCACATTTGATTTGTGCACCAAGTCATCTTAGCACTGATAGTAAATCACACCATGGTCACACGTTCCTTGGATACATTTCCTTGTATCCTTTACTTGTCATATCAGAATCATGACAATCCTGCTGCTCATTAGCCTTGTCAATTTCAATAGGACCCCATGCAAAGCACATTGAATAAGCATCAAAAAGCTTAACATGCGACGTGTGTGAAGATGTCAATCATCTGTCTATTGATCCCTCTCCTGTCATTTTAGCATTTTCTGCTCTCTCTCTAAGGACTCGGAATACCAAAGGGTGGACAACTGAAAGAGGCAGATGAAATGGCTGATTTGTTTAGTTGCTAAATGCAGCTGAGACAGGTAATTAAACAGCCCTGCTCCTGCAGAGAAACCTGCAGCAATGTAATGCATAATCTCAGAAACCCAGCTGCACTCAGATTTAGATTCAGAACTAATATTAGGTAGGCCCCTTTCAGATTGACAGATTTTATAAACATCATTTCTGGTTTATTTGCTCAGCATGATTAGGGATGGAGCATGTATGTCTCGCTCATGGTTTAAAGTTTCTAGGGAGTGTGTGGTGTTTATAGATACACACTGGAATAGCCCAGAAGGGCAGAGACTTGTGTCTGGTGGGCAAGGGATTCCATGGTGGGCAAGGGATTCCAGGGAGCCTCTGCTGCTCCTCAGTGCTTCAACCAATTCTTGATGTTAGTTATTCCATGGGTGTGGGGTCAGCCATGTGAATGAAGCAGGGTTGATAAAGGGCTGGAATAGGAGATTGGAATCAGTTCTCTCTTTAATCCTTTTCTTTTCTTTTTTAAAAAAATATATTTTATTGATTTTGTACAGAGAAGAAGGGAGAGAGATAGAGAGTTAGAAACATCGATGAGAGAGAGTCATCGATCAGCTGCCTCTTGCACACCCCCTACTGGGGATATGCCCGCAACCAAGGTACATGCCCTTGACCAGAATCGAACCCGGGACCCTTCAGTCCCCAAGCCGACGCTCTAGCCATTGAGCCAAACCGGTCTTGGCTAATCCTTTTCTTTTTTATGGGAGGCATATCCTATATAATTAAAGGCTAATATGCAAATTGTCCCTTCAACCAGGAGTTTGACCAGGGAGCGGGGCTGGCTGACCAACCTCCCACGTTCCTTCCCCTGGCCAGCCCAGCCCAATTGGCTCTGATTAGGCAGGCTGGCTAGACCCTACCCATGCACGAATTTGTGCATTGGGCCTCTACTTATTATATAAATAGCAAACATCTCTCTATATATACAACGTCTTTGTTTTAATTTGTTGCATTTATTTCTAGGCAGAAATTGCTGCCACTATCTACTCAGTTATTGAACCCAAAATTAACAATTAATTCTTTTCACTTACATCCCACAGGGCTCCCCAGCAGGGTCTTTATAGGGCTAAAATGTTCTTATCCTTCAAGTCTCACCTTAAATGTGTCCCCATCTCTGTGAAACCTATTCTGACCAACTTTCCATAATGGCCTGCACCAATTACATCTGATGTCTCGACTTCTATTACATAGTACTTGTCATAATTAGTAATTATTTGTTTATTCTTCACTTGTTTTTTGGTGAGTTGTTTGCTTACTTATTTGTTTGCATGTGTCTGTTTTCTCTCTTGCTTGTTTATTGTCTGTCTCCAGACTAGATGTTAGTTCCATAACGATAGAGATTGTTTCTTTCGTTCATTCTATAATTCCAGCTCATAGCTCAAATCCTTGGACTTAGTTTATATCCTATAAATATAAGCTAGAAAGCATGCTCAAATGAGATTGCAGATGAATGGTATGCTGGTAAAACCTCACTTTCAAAAAGGAAAAAAATAAAAAAGCAGTTTTAATTTGTAGCATCTACCCATACCTGTGGTATAAAGAATGCCACTATGGGAGTATTCAAGCTACCCAACTGACATCACTGAAAGCACTGAGTTGGAAAGGGATTTGCAATTGCATTGCATTGTTTCAGGTTTCTCTGTGGGAGCAGGACTTTTATTACTCATTCCAGCTGCATTTAGCAACTGAACAAATTATTGTTTCATCTTTTGTAATTGTGCACTCCTTAGTGGTCTCTAAGTTTTCAGAGAGTATTTCTACCATACATATATAACAGATAGAAGCATTTCAAGAACATGGATAAAATACATTAAAAATAATTAGGAAGTGATAGATTTTTGAGTACATTTATTACATTTGAGTATTTTATTACAATTATTTTAATATTTATTTAATTGTGACTATATAATCTAATTTTTAATAATGGGTATATTTAGCAACTAGCTTGCAAAATTCCTGAAAATTGAATAATATGCTATTACAAGCAGTCTTTAGCACCCTGCTAGAGATGACTTGTGTATGGGTAGACCCACTGACCACTTTGCCCCAGTGTCTGGTTTATAAACAGAAGAAAATTGGCCTAGATGGGTGGGAAAATTATAATTACAGAAACATTTCTCTGAGAATTTTTATTTGCTTTTACTACACAAGAAGATGACATTAATGTATCCTCCTAGCTTGGTTTACAGATTTGGTACAATGACTAGACAAGAGGATAAGGTGGCAGCAGTGAGAAATAAAGAACTCAGAAAGAGGGAATAAGAACTATTTCTTAGCTCACATACTCGGAGTCTTCCATTTAGCGTGATAGACCATCTTATTGCCAGAGGTTCTTGGTGGCCAAGAGCACTTACTTTTCAGAAAATTAGCCCAAGGCCAGCAGTCATTTATGCCTATTTGGAGTCATTGAGGTCTTAGCCGGACTGCTTGCCACTTCAGCTTTGTCTGTCTGTAGTGGAATGGAAATGAACCCCAAGTGGTGTCTGAGGCAAGGCCTGTGGAACTCTGGGGTCTCAGAGCAGATGCCTAAGGGGAGGTGACAAGCTCAGAGGTCACAGACAATAGGGAATATGAGGGAAAGAGCCATGTTGTGGATGCATTACCATCTTGTGTGGGGCTTTCTCCTTATCAAGTATACAGTCAGAGGTAGACCTGGCATTTGTAGATACACAGACTATTGATATAGGAAATATAAGTTATAATTAGCACCATTTACCACATTTGAATTTATAGAATCACTGAAATGTTTGAGTACTTATTTAAATAGTTGGCTAAGAAAGAAGCTAATAATGAGAAATTATATTAGCTCAGTCTTTGAAAGTCAAAGGCATGGAATTTGGTGAACGCCTTTGACCTTCACAGCCCATCTCTTTACATTGGCGTTGGCTGTATAGTTCTTGACTCATTTCTTAGCTCACATAAATCCTTTTAAGCCAACAGCATTAATCTTAGGGTAGAATAATGATTACCTCTCTTATAATACACCCATACCTCTCCACAAATTTCAGGTTGTTTGTATTTAAGAATGAGGTACCATCTTTCATGGATTAGTTCAAATAATTTTTTTAACTTAAAAAATTCAATTACAGTTGAATAATACTTAATGAGCCCATGTTTAGTGCCAAGAACTGTTTTAGGGCTTGAGTTTATAGAGAGAAGCGATATGACTCTGTACTCAAGCAGAGGGAACAATCAAGAAAACAGGGATTTTGAAAACAGTTTGTAATGAGCTGTGATGGCAGTATGCACAGGGTGGTATTGGAGGCAGATTAACTCATATCAGGCAGTGCTTTCTGGAAGTGACATTCTTGGTATTGAAGCATTCGTGTAAGTTAATGAGTTGTAAAGAGAAGTTAGGGTGTTCTGGGAGATGGGAAACCCTACAGAAAAGTGAAATGCAGAATTGATACTGGGAACTTAGGGAGGTTGGAGTGCCTAGAGCTTAGAACTGAAATCAGAACTTTGTACATCTGCTTTTTTATTCTCAGGAAATCTAAAATGAGAAGAGGAATGAGAATAAGAAGACAACCTCATATTTTACTTGAGGCTGGTTTTCCTATGGATTTTCGTGATTGGACTTAAAGGATGGGGCCTTTCTGTCAAATACCTGATGGAGGATTAGTAGCCAGATGTGTCCTCATGGTGCTTGATATTATTGCTTTGTATTTTGCTGCAGCTCCTGCCCATTCACACGCTGAGGCTTGGCATGGAAGTGGATTCCTTTGATGGGCATCATTATATCTCTTCGATAGTTCCAGGTGGTCCTATTGACACGCTGAACCTCCTTCAGCCAGAGGATGAGCTTCTTGAGGTAAGATTTATGAGGGACAGACAGGAATTTTTAAGCTCCAGGAACATGTGTTCTCACTGAGTTATATTATCACTGATGCCAATGAAATGTGATCTACTTAGAAGGAAGAAACTTGGTATATTATGTACTTCAAAGTAACTAAGAGATCTTAAATATTCTCACTACACACAGACACAAATGGTAACTGCGAGATGATGGAATTGTTAACTAACCTTATTGTAATAATTTGATAATACATATCCTATATAATAAAAGGGTAATATGCAAATTGACCTTTTTTTTTAGTCACTATGAGGTGCATTGACTACCTCTTGGTCCCTTTCCCTGGCCAACAGCTCCGATCACCTGATGGCCACCTGTGGCAGGGATGGGGCTGGTAAGCGGGTGGGAACAGCTGGCCTCTCGGTCCCTTCTCCCAGCTGTCAGGCACCAATCACTTGTTGGCAAACAGGGAACCAAGGATGGATGTGGTGTGGGGCGGGGCCAGCTGCGGGTAGCTGGGGAAGATGACCCTGATTGCAGGCCTGGCCTAGGGCCCATACCCATGCACTAATTTTATGCGCTGGGCCTCTAGTGTGTATATATATCAGATTATCACATTATATTCCTTAAACTTACACAATGTTACATGTCAATTATATTTCAATGATGATGGAAAAAATAAACAAAAAGATAAAAATATTACCTGGCTAGTGTGGTTCCGTGATTGAGCATGAACTCATGCACCAAGAGGTTGTCGGTTCAATTCCTGGTCAGGGCACATCCCTAATAGGGGACAAGCAGGAGGCAGCCGATCGATGTTTCTCTCTCATCAATGTTTCTATCTCTCCTTTTCCCTTCCTCTCTAAAAGTAAATAAAAATATAACAGCTTATATAATGATAAAGGAAGTAGATAATATGCTTTAACTTCATATTCCCCATCTTTTGGGACCTCTGAAATGTTTGAGTGGTTATTTAAATAATTAACCTGGGTGATTTAAATAATTAAGCCTGGGTGACCTCAGGCTTATGTCTTCTTGACTGGTTTTCAGATTGTCTCCTTGGGACGCCTTCTCCACAGCATAGCTGCCAATAGTGGGCTCACTGAGGCTGCCCAGCTGTTCTGCAGACAGACCAATTCTAGAACACTTCTACTTTGACCTGACTTTCTTAAGAGATTTTGTTAGATTGGAAAGTTTTGTAGCTAACACAATGAACAAACCAATGAACACCAAAACACCTAATTTTACATGTAAGATAATAAGGTATTGATTTTCTGTAACTTTATACACTGGTAAGCATGATAACTTTTGTTAATGTGTTCTAACTCCCTTTTCACTTAAAAAAAAAATACATCACCCTCCTTTTTAAAAATCCTAAAAAAAAAAAAAAAAAAAAGATGTGGGGAATGATCAAACTTAGAGGAAACTGCATAGAAGACGCTTTTTTTCTACCAAAGGTTAGGAACCACAAGAAGCCATAGTTGGGGTTTAATAGAATCAGCCTAGTAGCCTTAGCCAAGATTAGAATCACAGGAGCCTAATTATAGAAATTTCTTTCTAAAATTTACGTTTGCTCAAAGTGAAATGACAAGGATAATAAGTAGGTTTCTTTCCTCCTCCTCCTCCTTCTTCTCCTCCTCTTTCTTCTTTCTCTTCCTCTTCTTCTTCCTCTCCCTCTTCTTCCTCTTCCTCTTCCTCTTCCAGGGTCCAGCCATCTAGAAGAGTATTTTTTTTGTGTGTTAATCCTCACCCAACGATATTTTTGTGTTTTTTTGTGTGTTTTTTTATTTTTGTTTGTTTGCTTGTTTGTTTTTTAGAGAGAGTGGAGAGGGAGAGAGAGAGAGAGAGAAATATTGATGTGAGAGAGACACATGGATTGGTTGCTTCCCACTTGTGCCCATCCATGCTGGGGGATGGAGCCTGCAACCAACGTACGTGCTCTTGACTGGAATTAAACCTAGGAACCTTCAGTCCGCAGGCCAATGTTCTATCTACTGAGCCAAACTGGCTAGGGCTAGAAGAGTATGTTGAATTTCAAAGTCAGAGGGAAAAGTCTTATGAGTAATCGTTGTCAAATTCTGTCATAAGCTTGGGAGGACAGGTGTGTTGGAGTTCTATTGTAAAATGTAGTAAGTTATTTTAGAGTTATTCAAGAAATGATATTGGGGGAGAGAATCCAAGATGGCTGCACAGGTAAACACCTAACCGCAGCCGCACACAACAATTTCAATAAAATACAACTAAAATATAAAATGGACATTACCCAGAACTACAGGAAAGTCGACTGACTGGAAAATCTACAACAAGAAGCAAGGAGAAAACCAGAAGGAAGAGCAGAGGAGCTGTAAAAGCCGAAGGTACGGAGACACTCAGCACACGCGGAGAGGATGGAGCCTGAGAGGAGGGGGAGGCTGAGTGCCTGGCTGAAGTTCCCTAGTGGGAAGGAGATAAAAGCTCCAGACTGTGCTGAACCCCAGTTGTAGGCCAGACCCTGGAGACCCAGGCTCAAACAGAGGGAGCCGGGGCTGTGAGGCAGAATTCCAGGGGAGCGGCGTGAAAGGCAAAGCCCCTGGAGGCGCGCACATTACGCGCAGAGGACGGACTGTTGACTCTGCTACTAGATTATCCTAGCGGGAAGGAGACAAAAGCTCTGCACTGTGCTGAGCCCCAGTTCCGACTGCTCTGAATCCCAGTTCTAGACCAGACCCCGGGGACCCAGGCTCATCCAGAGGGAGACTGGGCTGTACGGTGGAACCCTGGGGGAGCGGTGAAAGGAGGTCCCGGAGGCACTCACATTGTGCACAGAGAAAGGACTTCCCAGAGGCGCACACATTGCGCTCAGAGAAGGGACCCTTGGCTGTACCATGGGATTGTCCTGGAGGGAAGGAGACAAAAGCTCCAGACTGCTCTGAACGCCACCTCCAACTCCACTTCCAACTGAACTGAACCCCAGTTCTGGGCTCATTGGGGGAGAGCCTAGACTGTTTGGTAGCAGGCGAAAATCGAGGGCACCTTTCCCTCAGAGGTGCTTACAACGAGTACTGAAGGACCCTAAGGAATACTGAGACTCTGGAGCCCCATAGGGCGGGGCTGAAGGAAGCCAGTGCTGTAGGCTCCACCCTGAAACTACATCCAAGCAGAACACAGAGACTTTTAAGGCTACCAACTCAGGGAAGCTGCGAAAATGCAGAGACAAGGAAAAAGATCACAAATGAAAGAAATGGAGGACAAAAAGCGACTGGATATAGAGTTCAAAACCACACTTATAAGGTTGTTCAAGAATCTTCTGGAAAAGGCCGATAAAATAAACGAGACCTATGAGGATATGAAAAGGGATCAACTAGAAATAATAAGGGATCAACAAGAAATAAAGAATACATTGTCTGAAATAAAAAATATTATATAGAGTCCTAAAAACAGAATGGAAGATCACAAGAATCAAGACAAAGATTTGGAACATAAAGAGCCAAAAGACACTCCTCTGCAAAAGCAAGAAGGCAAGAGAATCCAGAAAGTTGAAGATAATGTAAGAAACCTCTTGGACAACTTCAAGCGAACCAACATCAGAATTATGGGGGTCCCAGAAGATGAGAGAGAGCAAGATATCGAAAACATACTGAAAGAAATAGTGACAGAAAACTTCCCCCACCTGGTGAAAGAATTAGACTTACAAGTCCAGGAAGCGCACAGAACTCCAAACAAAAGGAATCCAAAGAGGACCCACCAAGACAAATCATAATTAAAATTCCAAGAGCAAAAGACAAAGAGAGAATATTAAAAGCAGCTAGAGCAAAGCAGGTAGTTACCTATAAAGGAGCACCTATACGATTGTCAGCTGATTTCTCAACAGAAACCATGCAGGCCAGATAGGAATGGCAAGAAATATTCAAGGTGATGAATTGTAAGAACCTACAGCCAAAGATAATCTATCCAGCAAAGCTATCACTCAGAATCGAAGGTCAGATAAAGAGCTTCACTAATAAAAAAAAAGCTAAAGGAATTCATTACCACCAAACCAGAATTATATGAATTGCTGAAAAGGGTTCTTTCAGAAGAGAAAGTAAATAAAGATAAAAACTATGAACAACAAATACGTAACTATCAACAAGTAAATCTAAAAACCAAGGAAATTAAAAAAAAATTGATGAACAATATTAATTGTTGAATATAATAGAATCAGGTATGGAAGGGGAGTGAACTGATGATTCTTGGGGAAAAGGGGAGAGGAAGGTGTGGGAAGAGACTGAACATAAACTATGCACCTATGGATGAGGACAGTGGGTGGTGGTTAAGGGGCAGAGGGAGGGGTCGGAACCTGGTGGAGGAGAGCAACGGAGGGGAGGGGGGAAAGAGGAACATTTGTAATAATATGAACAATAAAGATTTATTAAAAAAAAAAAAGAAATGATATTGGATTGTTTATTGGCTGGTTAATACCCTAGATATTACTATATCACTTACGGTTTTTTATTTGTTCTGAATTATGTTTTTCTTTCTGATTTGCTGAGTACATGGCATAGCCTTGTGGATATCAGACATTACATTCTATAGATTTAAGACCATTTGGAAACCATGTCTCTAATATGTACTTGTTAGATATTGAGGCATGAGATATATCAGTTTGGGAGATGTGGAAATGTGAGCAAAAAACAGTTATAGTTCACTTTTTTTGTGGTAAAATATACCTAATATATAATTTACATTTTAAGCATTTTTAGTGTATAATTCAGTGGCTTTAAGAATAATTCACTACTAGTATAGGGTAGGTGATAAAGAGATGTTATCTGGATCTGAGTAGAGAAGTATAAGTCATCACAGCCATCAAATGAGTCCTCTGTCCCTTAGCCAAGATTAGAATCCCTTGGGCCTTCGACCTTGTAATAGAATGGGGTGTGATAAAATAACAGGAAAACTTGAATTTATAAGTATACACTTTTGGTGAAAAAACTTGGGATATAGAAAGAAGCACAGGTTCGAAAGTCTGAGGAGCTGCTTTTGATTCTGAATTTACCACAGCTAAACCATGTCCCTTGGCATGTCCCATAACTTTGAGAATCAGTTTCTTCATCAATAAATTCCTACTTTACTGTGTGTTTGTGAGGATCTAATGGAGTACCATCCATGTAAACTATTAAGCATTATCTCACTGGGAATACTGGCACTATTCTCACTGGGGAAAGGCATAAACAGTCTTTATGGGATAGGATGAGTGAGGATTGAATGAGGTAATGTAGTGGCACAGTACGTGTGCAGTATTATGTACTCTGCAAATGAGTTACGTATGTGTGTGTTTTCTAATCACAGTTTGAACAGTTGAGAAGTGGCAGTTTTTGAGAGTCTCAAGTTGAAAAATAGTGTGAACTCTCAAAAAAAAAAATTGGCTGCTTCTGAGTAACCAAATATAGAAATAATAACAATTTTAAAAATCTCTGTAAAGTTAGCCAGATAAACTCCTGAGCATAAAGTGTGTGTGTGTGTGTGTGTGTGTGTGTGTGTGTGTGTATGTGTGTGTTTAATGTACTCCTTAGAGTTCAAAACAGAAACACAAATATGCTTTGGGGTTAGAACTCTATGCCAAGGCTCAGCCCAGAGCAGCTATTTGCAGCAGCCATAAATCCCCTTAGGTAGAAGCTGATAATGGGAAATGTGACCAATCCCTTCAGCGATAGAGCGCTCAGAGGGAGGACGACCAGGCATGGCTATAATAATTGGAGACAATTCAAATGAATAAATAATGAGCTAAATAAATATTTAAATGTGCTCCAAGATGAAAACCTGAAAAGTGTCTTTCCAATTTGCTGAAGTAATGTGAAACACAGCCTAACACTGTGTATGGGTAGAATTCCTTCTTTGGGTATGTGTGTTTGCTTTGTTTTCCTTGTAGGTTACTACTACCCATTTGGTTGGTTTTAGAACTTTCTGTGCTCTGGCACCAGTAGGCACCACGGACATGGTGTGATCGTGGACGGGTCCGTCCTTGCCCACTTTTGTGTTGTGATTGACTTGTAATTCTTCCAAGGCAAGCCTTTCATCTGCTGGGAACATGCAGGATTTCTAATGTTTTTTGTTACTACTAAAATAATGTTAAGTTTAGGCCATTTGTTTACAGTGGAAAGTAAAATAATATCCTAATTTCATTTTGATAGATAGATGTAAGCTGGAGATTTTTTTTTCAATCTGAGACCTCCTTAATTCTGACTTGTCTTTCTAGTTCAATGGTGTGCAGCTCTATGGGAAATCTCGCCGAGAAGCAGTCTCCTTTCTTAAGGAAGTGCCACCCCCTTTTACCTTGGTTTGCTGTCGACGATTGTTTGATGACGAAGCCTCTGTAGATGAGCCAAGGACCACTGCAGCCTCTCTTCCCGAGATGGAGGTACTAAATCAGTGTACCACCATTCCCACAGGCACGCCCCTCATCAAGGATCCCCCAAAGAGTGTGTTACAATATAAAGAGAGAGAAAATACTCCCCCCCCCTTTTTTTTATTTGACTACTGTAGCTCTCAATGACAACAGTGCATAGCTTTCAAACTGTTACTTCTCATATAATATCGTAAAATTTTCTTTTTATTCCCCCCCCTTGCAATATTGGTGACATTAATGTGCATGCTCTTGGATTTTAGAGAAGCTTTTTCTAGCATTTGCCTGGGCTCATTGCTTTTGGCTCCTGGTTTAGCTCAGTTCATCTTCATCAGTTGAAGACGTTGTTGAATATCTAATGGACTTCCCTTTTTTCAGAACCTCAATCATATGAAGATCTATGGCCATTTTTGAAGTGAGTCTAAAAATTGCTGTAAAAACCTTCAGAAGGTCAGAGAATAAAATAAAATAACACTTTCAATGCTCTTGATACTCTTTTTTTTTTTTTTTAAGAGCATTGTGATTATGAAAACAGTTTCAAGCACATCCTTTGTCATCTAATGTCATTTGTAACCTCATCTTTTATGCCATTTCCACCTTCCCGGACTCTTCTAGATTATAATTCCGGTAACAAAAGTTTAGCTACATGGGGCCTTCCCTGTTATCCACCTATGGTCTGAATTTCAAAATACAGGGACTCTAATCCTGCTCTATCATATACTGATTGTGAATCTTTGAGCAAATAACTTGGCTTCTGTTCATATTCTTCCTCTGAAAAGTGGAAATACTTAGTTCTTAGCCACTTCATTCGTTTTTGTGGGGAGATGAAGTAATGTAGGCAAAGTGCTAGTCACTATGCCTTGCCTGTGAAAAGTGCTCCATGAAAGTCAGCTTTAGCTATTCCTGACTCCTCTAGTTCACCTATCTTTGTTTTCTGATCTCCTGACAGATGTAAGAGTCTAGCTTACACCATCTTATATACACAGGTGCTTATTTAAACTTGTTTTTACCAGGAAATTGTCAGCTCCTGTGAGCAGAGGACATATCTTAAAATTATTTTGTATCTCATAGTGTTTTCATTCTGTACTGGGCATATAAGAAGTGCTTAGGAGATTACTGATTGAGAATATTTTTAAAAATGTTCTTTCTTTAGTGAAACATACTTCAAAGAAGGGACTTAAATGCCACCCTTTTTTGACTCTTGCTGTCTTTACTAAAACTAAATGCGGGTGATGGCTTACCTCTGAAGGTTGATAAAAATGCCTTTAATCTAATCTTACAGGGTGTGTAAATCACCAACCCAGCTTGCTGACTCTGTCCTCCCATCTGTCATACTTTACCACAATGGGTAAACTACAGCTCTGAATTATGCTAAATGTCAGCCTTGCTGCCCATTAGTTGATTGCTTTCCATTCTGTGAATACAGGAGTTATGCAAAATTGATTGTATCAAAATGACATGTTTCAGGTTGTGGAATAATATTTTATATACCTTAAATGCCTTGGGATTCTTATGAACTTGAGTTTTAGAATTGTATGTGGTTTTTTTTTTTAAATCCTGGCTCTCTTTTCCATCTGTCTCTTTTTTCCATTTATCCCAATGCTATCTTAGATTCTTAAACTCTATCTGTTTAGGCAGCTCAGCCAAAATTCTAATGGTCATTAATCAGTGAGGGTATTAAATGCCCCAGTAAAACATTAATCATATTGTATTAGCCATTGGAACTTTACTTTTTATTGGAAGGTATGAGTGTATTCTTTGTAAATATCATTTCCTCACATCAGGCTGATATATACAGAGGTTATTGATCCAGAACATTACCACTAATGTCAAATTTTGTAACTCGAGAACCAAGAAATTGTTTCCATGTTTAGATTTAATGCACCATGGATTGAGTATTGACTTTCCATGCCCTGCAGGGATAGCTTGAGGTCTGGACCAACCCTAATTAAAATGTGTCTGTGTATTAGCTATGGTGCCTTACTCTTCCATGTTAGAGGGGTTTTCCCCCAACTTTAATCCCATTAAATTGATTCTCTTATATAGGTCACTCAAAATGATGGTTGTAGAAATATTACACTTTCATTTTATTTACTAAAATTTCTCAAAGTTTTAAGAAGTCTACTTTTGAAAATTATTATTTAGCCTGTAGCTTTATTTAAAAAAGAGTGCCAGGGAAAACCCACTGAAAGATGGGTAATTCATTAATGTATGATCAAATATTTGTCAAGTGGCTGTTGTGTGCTAGTCACTGTTGTGGTTTGAGTGGATCATCATGGTAAACTCTACTATAGCCTGCGAAGTTTTCATTCTAGCTTGTTGATAGGGCTACAAAGAAAAAGATAATTCTTGGGCTTCAGGTAGAAATTCAGATTATTTTAAGAAAGTTAAATCATATTTAAAAAACACACACACGACTATACAGAACTATTAGGTCTAGTAATAATTAATGTCGTTTTCTAATACCTTTTTTAAATCGAATTTATTTAAACAATACAACAAAATTTAATCAACAATATAGTTGCCGTTGTTTTCTACTACTTGTGCCCAATGCTCAGGAAGCATTTTAATCCCTCTGTTGTAAAATTCTTGTGATTTTGATGCAAAAAATTCGGTCAATGCATTTTTGAGGCATTCTTCATTATTACATTTTTTTTCTAAGAAGAAAGTTTTGCAAAGAACGAAACAAATGGTAATGGGAAGGGGCAATATCAGGAGAATATGCAGGTTGAGGGAGAACTTCCCATTCCAACTGGCGCAGTTTTTCAGCAGTGATTCTTGCAGTGTGCGGTCGTGCGTTATCGTGGTGAAGAATTACGCCCTTCCGATTAATCAGCGCGGGTTCTTTTTCTCTTAAAGCTTGGGCTAACCTTTCCAATTGGGCACTATACACTGCACTTGTAATGGTTTGGTTAGATGGTAAAAGTTCATAATGAAGAATTCCTTTAAAATCCCACCAAACACACATCATCACTTTTTTCGCATGCAAGTCAGGTTTTGGCGTGGGCTGCGGAGCCTCATTTTTGTCCAACCATTGAGGCCGCCTTTTCAAATTAACATACAGCACCCATTTTTCATCTCCAGTAACAATTTGCTCTAAAAACGGCAAACGGTTTTGACGAGAGAGGAGCGAACTGCAAATTGTGACTCTTTGATTACGGTTGTTGTCGGTCAACTCATGTGGAACCCATTTTTCAAACTTTTGGACTTTGCCAAGTGCACGCAATTGATTGGAAATTGTTTTTTGTGAACAATTTAAAGTTGTCGCAAGCTCTTGTTGGGTAATTTGAGGATTTGGCACCAAAAGAGCTTCTTGATCAAAATTGGACACACGGCCTCGACCACTCTTGTCATCTAACGAAAAATTTCCCTCGCGAAATTTCTCAAACCAACGCTGGCATTTTCTGGCGCTAACTGCATCTTGACCAAGAGCACTACAGATGTTTTTTGCAGCCTCACTTGCTTTTCTTCCTAATTGGAACTCGTAAAGCATGCAGTGCCGAATATGCTCTTCATCCGCCATCTTCTTAGCCCTAGTTTTGCAACAAAAACCAAACCAAACACAAACTTTTTCAAGCAAAACTTGTTAATTGCACTTCACACGTTCTGTAGATACCACGTGTTTGAAGGTTATGTCAATACAAGTCAACGCCAAGCAAGATTTTAAACGAATGTTTAAAAACGACATTAATTATTACTAGACCCAATATAAATAGTATCAAGACAGAAGGTTGGAGCATAGTTGCTCTGCATAGTTGACTCACTGACCCTGTATCATATAATTTCCTAGAATTCCATATGGCAGTGACTCTTTTCCCTGAAAGAAGGGGAAGCCTGGCGTAGGAGGACTTGGGGATATGAGGTCGGGGAAATAACCAAGGACAGTGGACTGGGTGGTTGTGCCAATCTACTTCTTCTAAGATGAGTTTTCATTATCTCAACTTAGTGGTTTTTATCTGTTTTTAGATTTTCATAATTCCCAAAGACTTGGATTTTCCCCCCACCTTATTTTTCTAGCGAAGTCTTTACTTGAAAACTTCTAGGAGTCAACAGAAGTGGTTCCTCTGTGTCCTGTCCTGGTTTCTCTCTGTGTTAGTATCTTTCTTTGTCTTTTACTGTAACTGCAAATTCAGGTATTGCTACTTAAATATCTCTTAAGCTTTGACTTTGTATGATGTTTTCATTTTTCCTTAAATTGCATATTTTTCCGTTTATGCTTCTAATGGGATGACAGAACTCATTGAAGTGTAAGAGGTCAGTGTTAATACTTTAAATGAAATGGGTACTTTACATAAAAAAAAACCCTATATGAACAATCTACATATTTAAGTGCTTGAATTTTCATGAAGATCTGTATATTAGAGTATATATGCCTCTGTGCATGACCCTTTAAGCAGATTAGAAATAAAAAACTATGCATGCCAAAGAGAACCCCAGTTTGAAAAGCAGCTATGAGATTCCTGACATGTTCTTTTCAGTATTGAAAGGACAGTGTTTTGAAGCATATATGTTCTTTTGTATTGCAGGCTGATCATAATGTAGATGTCAACACTGAAGAAGATGATGATGGGGAATTAGCACTGTGGTCTCCTGAAGTCAAGATTGTTGAACTAGTAAAAGATCATAAAGGCTTGGGATTCAGCATTTTGGATTACCAGGTATAAGGACCTCTGTAGAGTTTCTTTCTTTTTTTTTTTTTTTTGGAGTGATTAGTTTGTACTAACATTATATGAAGTAGTAAATCATTTTAAGGCATCCATTAACTTAGGCAAAGCTGAATGATTTGATGGAGATAGTTCCTGTCCAAAGATAAAGTGTCATATTTTGCATTGTTAATTTGACAACTGAGCATTCAGTTTGGTTGCTTTTAGACTTGTGCAGCCATCACCACAGGCTAATTTAGAACATTTTCATCATCCCCAAAAGAAACCTTATAAATGTTATTCCCAGTTCTACTTTTCTCCCTCCCCTTCACATGGAGGTTTTTGTAGTTTTGCTTACCTGTTAATCTCATTGAGCTTAATTAAGTAGAAATGTGAAATGTCCACTTGGTAAAATTATATATTTACATTTAATAATGGGGCACATAATATTTATGTATTTATATGTACCCTAAATATGACAGGGTAAAATGACTGATTCCTTTGGGGGAGGATGTAAAAGGTCACAATAAGACATTTTTATGCTTACCAGCTTACCAGTTTATAGTACTTTTAGAGCTTCTGATTATTATGGGGAATTAAAACTGTTGGCAAGAGATCTCTTCACTTTTAAGATGCATATTTTAATACATTTGTGCTGCCTAAACACATTGTGGTTTAATAAAACAAAAAAGTCTTCTATCAAAGTACATAAAATGCCAAGAGATATAAAAATCAATTCTTTTGTTTTTAATATAATAAGGCAATCGGCAATAGATTAAAAGGAAAATATTTTAAGCAATATGTAAGACATTAAATTCCATATTTTGGCAGTGTGATTTAAGATTACTGAAATAGATTTTATCTCTTTCATTTTTGCTTGCTTATTTCTGTGCCATATAACTTTCTTCGTTATTAGAACTTCTCTTTGGAATATTGTTGAATTATGAGTTGTTGATTTCAAATAATGCGCATTTTGGGAAATATTTTTATAAAAATATTAATACTGTAAGATCCTGGAAGTTTATATATTGGTTCATATTAGAGGATATAAAACAAATGGCTGGTATATACCATTTGGCTGGTAGAACTCCCCAATGAAGTTGTATTACCTAGCACATGGAGGTGATTAACAAATATTTACAGAATGATTGCATAAAGTTTAGGTTAGTCTAACTTACCTGGGACTAAATGAACACATTCAGTGGTATTTCTTCTTAACCATTTTGATAATTGGGATGTAGTTTAGAACAGTAGTCTCCAGCCTTTCGGACCTCACAGACAGTCAGTGGTCCACAGAGCACTGGTTGGCAACTGCTGGTTTGGAAGATACCTTTCAGATGTGGTCTTAGATTTTTAGTTACATTTCCATTATTATTTGAATCTATCTATCTATCTATCTATCTATCTATCTATCTATCTATCTATCATCTATCTATCTATCTATCTATCTATCTATCTATCTATCTATCTACCTGTATTCATATAATACTAAATGCCTGGTGCACAAATTCAAGAGAGAAAGGGAGAGGGATAGAGAGATAGATAAATTCTCAGTATTGCCAGCAATTAAAGCTTGTTGGGGGGTCAGCCAGGGGAAGGGATCCCAGGAGGTTGGCCAGTTGGTTTGGCAGCCAGCCGGCTAGGGGGAGGGGCTGCAGGAGGTTGGTCGGCCAGGGGGAGGGGCCATGAGAAGTTGGCTGTGGGAGTGCACTGACCACTGGGGGAAGCTCCTGAACTGAGCATCTTCCCCCTGGTGGTCAGTGTGTGTCATAGCAACTGGTCGACTGGTTGGTAGGTCTTAACAGTCGCTTAGGCTTTTATATATATAGACTAAAAGCCCAGCGTGTGAAATTGCGTGCCCCCACCACCACCACCTACGCCAGTCTTTGGTTGTTAGGTCGTTAGGGCCACTAGGTTTTTATAATATAGACTACAGGCCCAGAGCATGAATTTGTGCACTGTTGGGGTCCCTCAGCCTGGCCTGTGCCCTTTTACAATCCAAGAACCCTCAGGGGATGTCTGATAGTCGGTTTCGGCCTAATCCCCACAGGCCTGATCCAGGCAGGAGGGTGCCTTATCCCTGCAGGCCAATCCAGACATGAGGGAGCCTAAAGTCCATAGGCCCGATCCAGACAGTAGGGAGCCCAATCCTGTGTATTGAGCGTCTGTCCCCTGTTGGTCAGTGCACATCATAGCGACCAGCTGACCAGTCATTTCGTTTGGTCATTTGGTTTTTTGGTTGCTTAGGCTTTTATATATAGATAGATATTATAATGGTTGTTTTATCCTGTTAGATGACATTTATCTGCAAGTTTTATACTTTGAATATTACACATTTAAGCAGGCAAGTGCTTCAGACATTTCTAAAACACTTCAGTAAAGTATGAAAAGAAAAAATTGATAGTCCTTAATAATTTAATCCCTACTTAATAGAAACATTTCCTTTTTATTTTTTTAATCCTCACCCGAGGATATTTTTTTTATTGATTTCAGAGGGAGTAAGAGAAGAGAAGAGAGAGAAACATTAATGTGAGAGTGCAACATCAATCGCTGCCTCCTGCACTCCCCCTACCAGGAATCAAGCCCACAACCCTGGCTTGTGCCCCAACCAGGAGTTGAACCAGCAACCTTTTGGTACATGGGACAACACCCAACCAACTGAGCCACACCAGAGCTCCATTATAACATTTAGATAACACATAAACACAATTTTTTAAATTTGGAGTCTGGCAGGTTTGGCTCAGTGGCTGAGCATCAAACTATGAATCAGAAAGTCACTGGTTTGATTTTTGATCAGGGCACATGCCCAAGTTAGTGGGCTTGATCTCCAGTAGGGAGCATGCAAGAGGCAGCCAACCAATGATGTTTCTCTCTCATCAATGTTTCTATCTCTCTATCCCTTTCCCTTCCTCTCGGTAAAATCAATGTTAAATCATTTAAAATAAAATTTGATTTGGGACAACTTAATTAATTAGTTATACTATCTCTTGTTGTAATTAGGTAATAAATTTTAAAGTTTAAAAATATTTTTTGCAAAACCAGGTGGAGGTTTAGCCAAAGCTATGAAAGGCTTGTTCCTGGTTATTACTGTTTGATGCATCCCATATGAATGTATTAGATAGCTGAATAGGATCAGTGCGGATCCCCCACTCCCACCCCTCACCCTCAGGCTTACGAACAAGAAGTATGGTAGAAACCTCTTGGCCATGGAAGAAAGTGTTAGTAGAGTGTGAGAGCTTCTAGGTTGTAAAGGGCCTGCATTAGCAGTATTAAAGAGGTTGAAAATTTACTTTTAAATATTTAGTTAAGCACATTTCTATAGAACTAATAAGGAATTCTTCAAGAGCCTGACAAAATTGTATATGATATCTATTTCATAGATGCTTATTCCGTTTCTTCATCTATAAAAAGGGGATAATAAAGTCTAGCTCAAAGGATTGTTGTGGGTTAAATAAATTAATGTGTAAAGAAGTAAAATTTATATTATTATGTAAATATGAGTATTACATTATTAATAATGATCCAATTAAAAATAAAGACAAAATTTTTTTATATTTTTCTCAAATGGAGCCCTACTACACTATCTATGTACTCTGTCAATGTTCAACTATTTAGTGAGATTAGGAAAATTAATGTTAGATGTCTTTGTTTAGAGAAGTCTAAATTTAATTGTAAAATTGCATTTTAAAATGCAGCCAACTCTTGGTGAACCATATGTAAATTATACCATTGTGGATAATTGGCCAGAAATTTACTTTTTACATAAATTGAGCCAAACCTTAGGAAAAGATGAGTGAGCTGATAAAGCATCTTGAGTTGACCATGGGAATATGGGGTAGCTGTCTGGACAGGTGATTTGTAATTAACTATTGGTGGAAGTTGTGTAGCTGAGTAGAGAAAAGAAACATGTCTTATGAAATGAAGGAGCTGAATCTACTGAACAATTCTGTAGTTCAGTCATATGGTCAGAGAGCAAAGTGTGGAAATTCACTTTCATAAAAAGCATTTTAAATAGACTGGAGCAAAGGAAAAGGAGACAGCAACAGGGAAGACAGTACATATGATTTGGGTGATAAGTCTTCTCATTAGATTTTAAGATAAAGGGATAGTAGCTCTTTTGGCTATTATTTGAATGAAGCAGAATATTTGTTAATCTCAAATATTCTTTGGCACTACTCCATGTAATAGCTAGTGAAAATCCTGCCCTGTATATTACCATATTAGAAGAGTCATTGATTGGTCTCTGTAACATCATGCTGTATATATAACATCATGTGTATGGAAAACAGCAATGTGCATAATTGGTTGAACATATGAATATTGTGGCCAACTATGTACTCTCTAAGCATCATTAAAGACTTCAGAAATTTGGTTATACATTTCTGTAGTATAGTTTCTTGCCAGTTTCTAGATGTGGCTTAGATATTGTGCCCTAGTTATTTTTGTTTTAATTCCCTAATATCTATATGTAAGGTCTTTATTCCTTAGAATATTACTAATGCTCATATTAATATTAATCCTAATATTCAAATAAAATTAATACAAATTAAATAGCAATAGCTAATATTTACTGAGTGTTCACTACTTGCTAGACACTGTTTTAATTGCTTTAGGTATTCCTTCCAAGAACCATAGAAAGTTCATACTATTATTATCCTCATTTTAGAATTGAGGAACCAGAAGCACAGAGAAGTTAAGTAACCTGTTCAAGTTCACACAGCTAGTATGTGGCAGAACTAGAATTTAGCTCAAACAGTTGGCTCCCAGAGTCTATGCTTTTATCCACCACACTCTACCGCTTCATTTCTTAGGAGGGTTACTTCCATGTGTATTTTATTACCAGGGATTCCTGTAATTAATTTATCACAGCAGATCTTTCTATTTTTCCAGCTTGCAAAAATTTTTCATGTCTTTAAGATAAATCACTAGATAATATTCTTAATCTTATATGAAAGTTTAGTAAGTATTAAAAATTAATATAGTGTGTTCATGTGTAAGAACTAGTGTTTATTGTT